AGACCTATGTGGGGCTTGAACCCACAAAACTATGAGATCATGACCTGGGCTAAAACCAATAGTTGGGGGCTTAACCAGCTGAGTCACCCAGGTGCCCCAAATTATGTCCATTCTTTGGCCAAATGTTTCACACAACTTCTTAAGGTTGTATGAGGCTATTACAGAGACAATATTGCTTTATTCACTCACCTTTCCTATTCTAGAGTCTATAGTTTGTTCGTTTTGACTCTAAATGTAGAAGAAAATAAACAAGAGGAAATATAGATGGCAAAATACAATAAGAATTATGCATAACTTTATTTAAACCAGTAAACATTTTAACTTAGCTTTCTAGACTTTTCTTAAATATTTATACTCCCAATTACTGTGACCTTTGACTCTACAAATTTTACCACAAAAGTATAACACTTCAAAGTGTCTTATCTAAGTCTTAATATTTGTTTCAGATTTAAAATACGTCATTTCAAAACTGATTCAGAAATGAAAACTTTCAGAAACTCTTCTATAAAAGGCTTTTATTCCCTTTTAAAAAACGAGGGGGAATATAAAATCATATTTAATCAAGATTATTTTTTAGCAGAAACTTTAATTGGTTTCATCATAGTAGCAAACTTATCTTTCTTAGGCAGTGGCTATTGGGAAGTTAATGGCATTTCTTTTCATGGGGTTAAATTTGTTTCAAAATTGAGAAACTACTCAAGGTGGAATTACAATACTATTGCTACATCTAAATGAAGACAATGTAGATGCTGAATTACGTTTTACCTCTGAGGCAACAATTAGAAACTGAAAGATTCAAATAAAAAGTTAACAGAGGCTCTGTAGTTTTCATAGATGCCCATGTCTTCTCTCTATTGTTCTAATTATGGAACAGCAAATACCAAGCAAAACTTAGTGTACCTGGGTGGTGATGTGACGCAGCCTTGACTAGTTAATACAAAGGAGGCATTCGGCTTGGGTACTTTTTTCATCACACTGTGGGCCATCTAGCGCTCTGACTCACAATGTCTTTTTGTAAGAGTAAAATAAAGGCAGTTGTACTCAAAGTTCTCGTTATCTCTAATTACATCAGCATGCATAGTATTTGCTTGGTTCCTTATTAGTATGAAAAATCTGGCCTCCATACTATTTACAAAGAAAATGATAGAAATGTAGACAGGTGTATTCATAAAGAAGCTGGTTTAGGAAAAAATATATAATGGCAGCTAATGAAATTAAAATAGAAAAAGATGTCCTTATCCATGTTTTTTTATAGTGCTTTGCAAATAAGATTGTAGACTTGAAAGTCCTGTGAACTATGTAAAAGATAACTTTTTTGATGTAAACATTTTATCTACTTGTTATCTCACTTCCTGTTACTTTCTTTTGTAGATGAGACAGATAATATTTCTCTCTGAATAATGTACTTACATTTTTTATTTCTTTTCCAACCTGAAAGACATTTAAGGAAAAAACTTGCAAACTCTAATTTCTGATGCTTAAAACATGTATAACAAACAATATATATGAATCTACTCTATGCAATAATATTCTCCAGATTTAGAATTTTGACATTTAAAATCACTGCATTTGCCAAAAATCTTTTGTCTAAATTATTAACAGATTATAATTTTGGGTCAATTATGTTAATAATCTGAGTCACTAGTTTTGAAAAGAGCGAAGATTTCTAATTTATTCATCCAGTGTTATACACACAGTGATATAATAGCGTTTGTTTAAACAGCTTACCATCTTCCCAAGTAGCCTTCCTAAAGTCCTTTATTTTAGCCTGTTCATTAGTTACTCATATTTAACAATTGTATATACAATGGGGCATGGATATGTATATCCCAGCAAGATTTTTGAGTTCAAATTAAAAGTAATCAAATGACAGTCATTAGATTATTTGTTGTAAAAATCTATCACTAGGGGAAAATTTGTCTCTGCACTGTTCTACCTTTAGTGGTTTTCCAAATAGAAACTTATTGCCAGAAATTATGTACATTTTATAGGCCAGTGTATATGCTGAATAAATCATGTCTTCTACAGCTGTTGTCTTCTGTATTATTTTAGGATGTACCATGCTTTTTTATAAATATCTAAAATATGTAAATTTCTTCTCTGAATGTGTGATTAGTTCCTTTCTAGCCAAAGGAGATTTCCCCCATGATCAAATTCAATCATTTTTCTATGTTTTGGAATCCTGCCTGAAAATGCTTATTTTTATTTATGAAAAATGTGCCAGAAGATCTGCAAGAGCAATTCTGTAACACTTATAAGCATATTTTTTTCCAATTTAAAATCGAGCTTACAGCTAGAAGTAGCAGAACAAATGTAAAAAATATCATTATGAATTTGTAAATGCTGTGAATTCAATAGCATGGTTAGAAAATGAATGGCAATGCTTTGGCAATATTTTATTTTAATATCACACTAAGACTGGACAGAATGTGTTTATTAAGTAAAAACTGAAATATATCTGGAATGTATCATTCCAAAGAGTAGTTCACTGAGCACACGAGTTTATGTTGTAAACTATTGGAAACTGAGGATGAGTAAACTCCATAAACTGAGATGATCCTAGAGATTTCAATTTTTAATTTTTTAGTACAGTGTGACAGTCATTGATTTATTGTCTCTCAGCTGTAAATTCATCCTTTTTGCCTCCTCTGTGGAAACTAATCTGACCCCCCTAAATGTTTTCCTGTTAGCACCTGACACTGAAGCTTTATCAGTGGAGGAAAGTGGAGAGAAGCTGCAAAGTTTTGCTTCTTGTTGCTGTTACTCTGGCATGCTCCTCCAGTGTGCTGGGCTTTCTGCACCACCAGGCTCCTGTGGTGCTTGCGGATTCTCCACTGCCTGGCTCTATGGAGGGCAATGGCATCTAGAGACCAGCAGCTTTCTTTGACACCTTTTCCAAATATTTCTAAGGCAAAGTGCCCCTTGTGAGACACTCCCCCAAGAACAGCTTTCATTAGCACTCTAGAGAGTGAATTTCTGGCAGGTTTACTGCAGGGATGTCTCTTTCAGCGAGCCACAATTCTGCTTCTCCATTCGTCTTGATGTAAGACCCATGTGTGTGTTTTGAGAGGAGAGTGCTATTTCTCGAGTGCTCTGTCTCAGCCCTAGGCAGGGTAACTGTTCTATTACTTGGGACTCCTATAGTCAGTGAACTTGCTAGAAATTCTGGAGTAAATATGTTTGCTTCTTTGGCTAGATGCCACTCTATTGGCTAACTTTGTTGGCTGATTGAAACGTGGACTCAAAAGTCGTTAATGAGAATGAATTGCCCAAGAAGTCCTGGCATAACGTGGAGAACGAAGAGCAAAGGCTCAGGGATGTAGGACAGTTGAACTGAATTTATCATTCAATTGTGGCTGTGACATATTTTTTTTGGAGCAAATCAACCCAACCATTGTTTTAGTTCCCTTGTTTTGCTTTAACAAATTACCAAAAACTTAATGAATAAAAGCAACATAAATGTTCCATCTTATAGTTCCTGATATCAGATGTCCAAAATCAGTCTCAGTGGACTAAAATCAAGGTGTCTGCAAGTCTACATTCCTTCTAGAGGTTCTAGGCGACAATCTTTTCCTTTTCTTTTCCAGCTCCTAGAGGCCACCTGTATTTCTTGGCTTGTGGCCACTTTCTCTATCCTCAAAGCCAACTGATTTGGTTTCCTAAATGACTTCTGCTTCTGGCATCACATCTCCTTTGATTAGATCCTTCTTTCACCCTCTTATAAAAACCCTGTGACTATGTTGAGCCCACATGAATAATTGAGGATAATTTTCTCATCTCAAGATCCTTAACTTAATCACATTTACTATGCCCCTTTTGTAAAGGCCCCGGGATTAAGATTTGGGCATCCTTGAGGGACTATTATTTACTTTACCACAATTTCTGACACTTAGTATGCAACTATTGACCTGACGAATCCCTTCTTCTCTTTACTAATTTGCAAGGATTGCAAAGCAGTTTGCATTTACCTGCAGGACCACTGGTGTAGTTCTAGAATATTGATTCAGGGCTGTGCTAACTCTTCTCCTTGCCATAATGCAATCTATAGATCTTGATCATCTTGACACTCCAAAAACACCCAAGTGGTCCACTGCTCTAATGGAATTTTGCTGATTGGATCTAATGAGCAGGAAGTAGCAGGTGTATTATGCAAAGAAGAGGATAGAAGATATACTCACACATTTCATGAGCCTGTCTCTGTAGGGTAGTTTCTTATATCAATAGCCTAGAGCATGACAAGAAATGCCCCCAAAGAGAACAAGTTACTGCAACTTTCATCATGTACTATGAGAAAGGAGGCACAATGCTTGGCAAAACATTTTGAATTTTTGTGTAACATATACCACACTGTGTTAATTCGACTCATCTACAGAGTTACTTATAAGGTTTCCAGTTATAAGTAGGTACCAGAACAAGAGAAGACTCCACATCACATTCAGGCATCAGTATAAGCCATTCTACCTGTTGGACTTTATAGTGTAATAGATTTAATAGTACTTGCACATAAGTATGTTGTATGGGCCTCCAGCAAACAAAAAATAGGAAAATTTCAGAGAAGATCTTTAGCATTTTGGAAGAAAACCTATGCTTTTCATTGAAAGATAACTAGTTTCCTTTTGAGAAATAGATACAGACTTTCTACTAGTCTTCTTAGAGACTGAAAGCCTAACATAGAACCCCAAGTGACCTAAGACTCATGTCATTTCACACAGCATTGAGTACGACCAAGAAACTCATTTCAGATCAAAGGAAGTACAGCAATGGACTCATATTCATGCATTTCATTGATTTTACCATATACCCAGTCAATTAAAGAAGCTAGCCTAACTGAAAGGTACAATGACAATTGAAAACTCATTTTGTTATCTACTTCAAAGGACAAGATTCTGTTTACAGGACTCAGCATATGCTTTTAATCAGAATTCCACAAGATGTGGAAGTGCAAGTGGGGTCTATCATATTATATCTAAAACTCAGGTATGGAATTTTTTTTTTCTTACCTGGTAACTTTGAGCTCTGTTTCTTTGGAGATATTAATTGTCAAGATGGGATGATGGGATGATTCCAGCAAAAGGCACACAACAATGGCTCCACTAAATTGAAAGATGAGATCACCTCCTGGACATTTAAGGCTCTTTCTGCAACTAAACTAAAGAAAGCAGAGGGTGGGGGAGTTAATTTGCTGGCCTGTGCAATTGACGCTGTTCACTAAGTGAAAATATGTTCTACAAATAAACACAAGGCAGGCTACATCTGTATTCCAGGGAATTCTCTATGGTACTTCCCAGTGCATCCGTATCCAATGGTAAAGTTTAATGGAAAACTAGAGCAATCAAAAAAAGTCAGAAAATTGAGGGCTCAGGCCTTTCACAGATACAGAATGCCAAACAGCAGATATTCTTCCTGAAGACAGAGGAAATACTGAAAGAGTAGTTGAAGAAGAGAGACCTAGTTGTCAATTAGGACCTCGTGAGTAATTACAGAAATGAAAACTATAGCAGCTTTGCATATTTTCAAATTTCCTATATGTATTTATTTGTATATATCAGCCATTGTGTTTGCTTTCTTCAATTTTCCATTAGAAACCTCCCTATGAAGAGCTTTCCTCAAAACCCTATAGGGCAGGTTTCTGACAAGTTCCAGAGGATGGGTTTCCAGGGAACTTCAGCCATACAGCCCAACAGTGACAAGTCAGCTATTCTGCAAGGCACAATTTTGCCATCTCCATCACATTCTGGCTCTTTGAATGATAAGCAGTTCCCTATTTCAACCCTATCAGAAGTGACTCCTTCTGTATCTGTTAGAAAATTCTTCAGAGTTATGTTTACTTCTTACTAGCCAATTTATCACATATCAATACAACTCCTATTGTAGTTTATCATTCTTTATATGATTTTGTTAAAATCACTGTGTGGCCTCTCTCTGGATAGGTCACAGTTTTATATATATGATAAAATATGTTGATTGATTTTGTAAAGGTAAACTAACCTGGCATTCTTGGTATTAACCCCCTAGGGTCATGATACACTATTCTTTTAAGTATTGTTGAATTCAATTTGCTAATTTTATGTTGTAAATATTGCATCCACATCAGGTAAGATATTGGCATGAGGTTTTATTTATAATATCTTTAATATTGGTATCAGTGTAATGTTGATCTCATGAAACACATTAGAAAGTACAATTTACTTCAGTTTTCTGAAGAGTTTGTGTAGAATTGATATTATTTCTTCTTTAAATATTTAGCCAAATTCATTAATAAATTTTTTTGGGTTTGAGGTTATCTGTGTCATATAATTCTTAACTTTATAAATTCAATGTCCTTTATAGATATAAAACCATTCAGATTATCTATTTCTTCTTGAATGAGCTTCAGTAGTCTGTGCCTTTCAAGGATTTTTTTTCCAACTTTAACTAAGTTGTCTTATGTATTGGCAAACATTGTTCAGTATTTCCTTATTATTCTTAGTGTATATGTAGAAACTGTAATGGTGTCACCTATCCCATTCCTGATATTGGTTAATTTCTGTTTTTTATTTATTTTCTTTATCGGTCTCTTTAGAGTGTAATCAACTTTTAATTTTGTTGATTTTCACAAAGAGTTATTGATTTTCTACTTTTTGTTTTCAATCTCATTTGTTTTCTGTGCTGATTTTAAAGCTGGTTATTCCGGGGTGCCTGGGTGGTTCAGTTGGTTAAATGTCCAACTTTGGCTCAGGTCATGATCTCATGGTTACTGAGTTTGAGCCCCAAGTCAGGCTCTGCGCTGACAGCTTAGATCCTAGAGCCTGATTCAGATTCTGTGTCTCCCTCTATATCTGCCCCTCCCCTGCTCTCACTCTGTCTCTTTCTCTCTCAAAAATAAATTTAAAAAAATTTTAAGTTAGTTGTCCCTCAGAGAAAACCTACAGACACAACTTAACAGAATGTCACTAAATTCATATCTGTCAAAAATCACTCTGAATATAAATGGACTATATGCTCCAAACAAATGAACAGGGTATAAGAATAGATTAAAACAAACAAACAAACAAACAAACAACAAAACAAGCAAAAAACAAGAGAACAACAACAAAAACAAGACCCTTCCACTGCCTATAAGAGACTCATTGAAGATCTGAAGACAACTGCAGATTGAAAGTGAGGGCATGGAGAAATATTTATCATGTTAGTGGACCTCAAAAGAAAGCTAGCATAGTCATATTTATATCAGATGAACTAGATTTTAAACCAAAGACTGCAAGAAGAGATGTAGATGAACACTATATCATAATAAACGGGTATATCCAACAAGAAGATCAAACAATTATAAATATTTATGCTCCCAACTTGGAAGAACCCAAATATATAAAACAAGTAACAACGAACATGAAGAAACTCATTGATAATAAAACAATAATAGTAGGGTACTGTAACACCCCACTTACAGTAATGGGCAGACCACCTAAGCAGAAAATCAACAAAGAAACAATGGCTTTGAATGACACACTGGACCAGATGGATTTAAACAATATATACAGAACATTTATTCCTAAAGCAGCAGATTACACATTCTTTTTGAGTGCACATGGGACATTCTCCAGAGTAGATCACATACTGGCTCACAAATCAGGTCTCAAAAAAAACAAGACTGACATTATATCATGCATATTTTCAAACCACAACATTATGAAACTTGAAGTCAATCACAAGAAAAAAATTGGAAAGACCACAAATAGATGGAGGTTAAAGAACATTTTACTTAAAAATGAATAGGTTAACCAGGAAATTAAAGAAATTTAAAAAATCAATACATGGATGGAAACAAGTGAAAATTAAAACATGATGGTCAAAAACCTTTGCAATGCAGCAAAAGTGGTCATAAGAGGGAAGTATATAGCAATACAGGTCTACCTGAAGAAGCAGAAAAATCTCAAATATATACCTAACCATATACCTAAAGGAGCTAGAGAAAGAACAGCAAATGAAGCCTAGCCAACAGAAGAAAGGAAATACTAAAGATTAATGCACAAATAAATGATATAGAAGCAAACAAACAAACAAACAAAACCGAGTAGAACAGATCAATGAAACTAGGAGCTGGTTCTTTGAAAGAATTAATAAAATTGATAAACGTTTAGGCAGACTTACCAAAACAAAGAGAGAAAAAGCTCAAATAAATAAAATCATGAATCTCTGAGAGGAGAAATCACAGCCAATACTACAGAAATACAATTATAAGAAAATATTATGAAAAGATATATCCCAACAAATAGGGCAATCTGGAAGAAATGGATCAACTCTTGAACACATATAAACTACCAAAACTGAAACAGAAAGAAAGAGAAAATTTGAACAGACCCATTACCAGCAACCCAGAAAAGGAATTGAATCAGTAATCAAAAGTCTCCCAACAAACAAAAGTCTAGGGCCGGATGTCTTCTCAGAGGAATTCTACCAATCATTTAAAGTAGAGTTAATATCTATTCTTCTCAAGTTGTTCCAAAAAATAGAAATGGAAGAAAAACTTCAAAACTGATTCTATGAGAAGAGAATGGCATGGAAATACATAGTTAATGCACCTTCTCAATCTGAATAAACAACAACTTATTTTTAAACAGGAATGCTACTGAAGAATTGACTGTAAGTTCTCTGATTCTTTAGGTAATGTTTAGTTATATTATATATCAGTAGAATATTTAGGGGAAATGCTATAAGAGTTGTCAAAAAAGATATGATTATTATATGCTAACCACTTGGAATGTACAATAGGTAAATGTAACTTAAATCATTTAAAAGAAAAATAGCTTAAAAACTTAATATTAATTCCCAGTTTAACACAAAATTTCTTACAACTATTACTATTTCTGAATTACTATTGTTTTTTATTCAATTGCTAATAAAACATTTGGAGACAAAACAAGTAAGAACCTAATATAAAGATTTGCTGTAGATACTGAAAGTAATCACTTGTATGCTCAATATAAATAAATTACATATAATATAATTTATAGTATTAAGCATAAAATATGCAACTGAAGTGATTAATCACTTAAATAAAATTAATGCTTGCTTAACACTGTGTTTATTTCATGTCACTATACTTTTATTACAGCTTTAATTTGATTATGGTTGTAATGAAGGTAATTCTATTATACGCAATAAATGCCATTAATGCTAATAGCTGATAACCTATTCCATGGTGAGAAACATTTTAGGTACTATTTAGATTTCCACAAGGTCTACAGCTATTTATAATATTAAAACAAGAGCAACTGCACCGATAAATAGCAGTTTCTTTAGCAGTGATAGTTATTTTTTTTTACTTTGGTTTAAATTTTGTCTTTCAACTCAAGTTGCCTATCAGAAAGTTGCTAATGCAATTTTGAATAAACGAAGCAATTTATATATGCTCACATTTTTTGTGAATAATCATTAAGGAAATTCTTCAAACTAAATGGATCACATTATATAAGCATTCTTCACATCCACCAATATATAGGTGTTGAAAATGGTATAAAATAGATTAGGTTGCATCTCAAAAAATAGAATGATACTATTGAATTCAATAAAACATTATAGTAACTACCTAGAATGAGAAATGCAAATTTGTGATACACAGATTAATGTAGAAATAAATTTTCTTAAATATCCAATGTTTTTGAAGCCAATTACAAGGGATCCCTATTCAGAGCAGAATTTAGCAGAGTAAAAAGCCCATGGAACAAAACCTGACCAGTGACCTATTTGTCTACATGAAGTTTTATTGGAACACAGTCTCACTCATTTATTTACAATCAATTGTATTGTCTATCTCTGATTTCACACTGCAACAGCAGATATCATATGGCCCTCAAAGCCTAAACTATTTTCTGTCTGGCTCTTTGCTGACCACTGATCTACAGCAATTTCTTGGGCAAATAATTTACTTGGCAGCTCCCAAACTGATTAATACTTTTCCATTTCTTTTGCTTTCTCTTTTCTTTTCTTTATTTTTTTGTTCATTCCTCAACCAATTCTCATTATGCCTTTATTGTCTGGGTTTCATAATTTGTAATTGAGTAGCCCAGTGTCTCAGGCTTTGGATTTCCTTAGACCTACAAAAATTAGACCAACTAAGGTCTCATTAAAGCTGAGCAATGACAGGTCTACGAAATAGGCAGAAACAAA